GGTCTCGCGACGCGGCCCGGGGGCGGGGCGGGGCGGGGCGAGTCGTCCGAGCGCGCCATGGCCGCCCTGCGCGTCCTGCTGCCCGGCTTCCGCGGCACGCTGCGGCCTCTCGTCTTCTGCCCCGCGCCGCGGCCCCTCGCCTCCGGTGAGTGCAGGGCGAGGGCGGGCGGCCCGGCAGACCCCGCCACGGCCCCCGCCGCGCTCCGGCCCTGCAGGGGCTGTCCGGGCTCTCCGACCCGGTGCGCTGGGGCTACTCCAGTGGCTGCTGGCCGCTTCACCCTCGGGGCCCTGCCCCAGGGCCACGACCCCTGGCCGCGTTGTGAAACCGGTGTGTGGCTGCCAGGTTCTCCGACGAGGCACAGCGCCCAGGATTCGGAGGCGGAGGCACATTTTGTCCTGCGCTGCCTCCAGCCCAGGCCCTCGCGTGCCACGGCCCCCCTCTGGGTCGGCCCTGCACACGTCCTGGGGCAAAGGCCGAGGCTTCTTCCCTGCCAGCTGACATGCCCTCCCCTCCCCTCTCACCGGGGGCTGCGCGCACCTGCTCCGGTACCTGGAGGAAGTCTGACCCCTCCCCTCCTTCACCCTTACATGCAGTTAACTACTAAGTCGTGTTCGTTTTATGCCCACGTTCTGCTTGACCGTCTGCTTCTGTCCGTGACCTGCATGCTGCAGCTAAACGTTTCGTGTGTGATATTTCAGCCACTTCTCTGCAAACCCGTGAGGGGGTACTGAGATCTTTGGTTTGCTGCTAAAGAAATCAAGCACCCCAGACTCGTTGGTCTCTTCAGGTTCACCTTCTTCCTGTCCAAGCCCACTACCTGCACTCCAGTGCCCCTCCAGGTGTCGGCAGTCCCCCTAGAACGCAGTTGGCCTTTGCCTCTGTCTATTCCACCCCGCAAGGCTAGAGCTGTGTGCAGCTTAATTCCCTTACTTTGTTGGAATTTGTTGAAAGAAGGTGTTTCCTTGTCCCTTGTTTCAGCAGAACCCTGGGCCATCTCTAGTGCTGTGTCCTAGGAGGAGCTGACTCAGGCATACAGGAGAAGTCAGGCAGCTACGGGCTGTTTCTGCACTGGGGATTTTTCTCTAACTGAAGGAAACGTTCCAACAGATGTGGAAGCAGAGAGTGGTACCAAGTCCACCATGTACCCACGTGGCTGAGAGCTGCATGCTGGAATCACAGAGAACTGGGCAGGGATCCCTTAGAGGGCCTTGGCTCCACTTTGTGTCCACTCACGGCCCCTCCCTCCCTTCCCTCTCCCTCCAATTTGTAATGCATACAATCAGCTTCCCCTCTTTGCCTCCTTTACCCTAGGTGCTAACTTTGAGTACATCATCACAGAAAAAAAGGGGAAGAATAACACTGTGGGACTGATCCGGCTGAACCGCCCCAAAGCACTCAATGCGCTTTGCAATGGCCTGATTGAGGAGCTCAACCAGGCACTGGAGACCTTCGAGAAGGACCCAGCCGTGGGGGCCATCGTCCTCACTGGTGGGGACAAGGCGTTCGCAGGTGTGGGCGGCAGTGGTGGCCTCTGCTCCTGGGCAGGTGTGGGAGGGACCCCTGTGGCTTTGGGGAAGTGTCAGAAGAGACTCGCGCCTCCGAGATGGTGGTGGCATACCACTTGGGCTTTACTGACACATGAAGTAAAGATACAGTGGGAACTGCGAGCCCGCCCTCTCTGGGTCCATCTCACACCTGTCACCTGTCCCAGGGCCACTCTGTGTTACCTCTGTTGTAACATGCATCACAGTGTCTTATGACATCTGTCCATGTGGCCAGGCCTGTGTCAGCTGGGCCTCACAGCCTCAGTGCTTGCATGTAGTGCACTCTATAACTCCCTGTTGGTTTGGAGGCTACAGGACCAGTGGGCTCTCTGCTTTCTGGTAACTGAAACCTTGTTTCGTCTCCTAGCTGGAGCCGATATCAAAGAAATGCAGAACCGGACGTTCCAGGACTGTTACTCCAGCAAATTCTTGAGCCACTGGGACCAACTCACCCGGGTCAAGAAACCCGTCATTGCTGCTGTCAATGGCTATGCCGTGAGTGTCGCCATCAAGAGTGTCCTCCCCTCAGGTGGTTGAAGAAATTGTGCCTGTGCTTACAAAGCGCAGCAGATTTTTATTTTGGTTTTGAAGAGGCCTTAAGTATACTTCAAGGCCAGCCAGCTCCTTTCCTGTGGCATGTGCTAATGAGCCAGTACAGTGAGGGAGGAGGCGTCTCAGTATCAGCTTCTTTGTTTTTTTTTTGATTCGGGGTGTCACTCTGTCGCCCAGGTTGGACATGCTCATGGCCACCACAGCCTCGAGCTGTTGGGCTCAGGTGATCCTTCTTCCTCAGCCTCCAAGTAGCTGGAACAATAGGCATGCGCCACCATGCCTGGATAATTTTTTGATTTATGGTAAAGATGAGGTCTCACCAAGTTGCCCAGGCTCGTCTCAAACCCATGGGCTCAGGCAATCCTCTCACCTCGGTCTCCCAAAGTGCTGGGATTATAGGTGTGAGCCACCACGCCCGGCCTACCATCAGCTTTTGTGGCTGTTCCCCAGCCAGGTGGAGGATGCAGGTGTTGGCTTCGGTGTTGCTGAATTGTTTTAGTGTTGTTCTGACTGAAGTTACATCTCTAAACTGACTTACTTTGCTCCCTTAAGAGCTCTGTGTCCTGTGTGCCTGGTGCCGTCGTCATGTGGACTGTTGGGAAATGCTGGGCTGGTTTTAGCCTCTTGGGAAGTGATGAGGCCATTTCATATTGCGGTTGCTTCAGGACAGCCTGCTGTGTATGCCAGGGGTCCACATGAAGGTTCATTGGCACCACCATACCTAACCATGCACATGGGCTGCAGCAGCAGAGTCGAGTGGTCACGACAGACTGTAGGACCCTCACAGCCAAAAGTCCTTATTGTCTGGCTCTTTGCAGAATGATTTTGCCAGCCCCTAGCAAACAGCAGCAGGCCACTTGCAGGTAGTTTCTCGTAATGGTTAACTAACTTTGTACTGCTGTGTTAATCTCTGTCATACCCCATGCTTCATTCTAATGGAAGACGTAATAAACAATGATAGTCCGACTAGGTTCTCTTGGTAACAATGTCATCCTGATGCTGAGGATTGTTTTGCAGCTTGGTGGGGGCTGTGAGCTCGCCATGATGTGTGACATCATCTACGCTGGTGAGAAAGCCCAGTTTGCACAGCCGGAAATCTTACTCGGAACCATCCCAGGTAAAGAGTGAGACTCTCCCTGGTGTAGACGCTTCAGGTAATTCCTCAAAATTTGCCAGTGTCTTCGGGCCCATAGCTCACATCTGACCACAGGCCCTGGATGGACAGCCCCACGTCAGTCAGTGTTCCCTCTGCAGACTAGCACCCGGACCAGTGTGCATGCAACGAAGCTCAGAGAGGGGCCCTGGGGACCGCTGGGTCATGTCCAGCTCCTGTGATTATAGCTAAGTCCCATGTCTGATGGTGTTAGAAGAGGCTAGGCACGCAGTGACGCTGGCTTATGACCATGGTGCTTCTTTCTTGTGATCCATATCCATGGCAGGTCCTAGAAAGGTCAGTTGCTTGGAAAAGAAAACGGTGACCCTGGGCTGGCACTGAGAGCTCAACCCAGCGTGCCTCAGGGCTCATTTACTCCCCTGTCACTGCCCACGGAGGTCATGTGGCCTCACCACGTTCAGACCAGGGAGTCAGACCCACCACCATGCCCCCAGGAAGCAGCCTGGGCTGTTAGCAAAGGGCGTACCCTCTGTCCCCAGGGTCCACTTGGTGGACCTGGTAGGAGTGTGGCTGCTCTCCCTCAAGTCTGGGCTGGTCTCTCTGTGCCCCCCCATCACTCTCCAGGTATCTTAGAACTTGGTGGCTGTGCATCTGTGGTGTCTTCCTAACTGCACTCACCGCAGCACCAGCCATGACCAGCCTCTCCTCACAGGTGCGGGCGGTACCCAGAGACTCACTCGTGCAGTCGGGAAGTCACTGGCGATGGAGATGGTCCTCACTGGTGACCGGATCTCGGCCCAAGAGGCCAAGCAAGCAGGTACGAGCAGGGCTGCTCATGGGAGCCAGGTGGAGATTCAGGGGCTGCATCCAGTGTCCCCAGGGTAGCTACACAAGCTTCTGGGTCCTGAGAACCTGGGAGGCTGACTGCCTTTTGGTTTGCATTTGAGATACTGTATGTACAGAAGACTAACTAAACACGTACAGGGTTCAAATGATGCCACAATGATCCCATTTCCCAGAGCCCAGAGCAGGCAATGGGACATCTCCAGACCTTCATGGCTTGGTCCTCCCTCTGCCCGGTTGGTGACAGCAGTCCCATATCTGGTGCCTCTGCCACCCAGGTCTGTGCCTGGCCTGTGCGGGTGAGAGCACCGTGACTTTGCTCCCCACCGCACTCTGCCCCCTCAGTGACGTGGGACACCATCGGTGTGGAAGGCATCCCTTGTTGAGCCCTCAGAGGCCTGGGGACTCCAGAACATGGAGCTCCCCAGCAATCGCCAGGTTCAGAAGGAATAGAACCAGTGCTATTTCTGCACATCTGCCTGTTTCACTTTAGGTCTTGTCAGCAAGATTTTTCCTGTTGAGACTCTGGTTGAAGAAGCCATCCAGTGTGCAGAAAAGATTGCCAGCAACTCTAAAATCATAGCAGCAATGGCCAAAGAATCGGTGAATGCAGGTAGGGAATTGTGCTGGGAACAGCATAGCGGGTCTCCAGGACGGTTGAGAGCAGTCTTGAGAGGCAGGTGTTACGGCTTCAAGTGACAGCACTTTTCCCACCACTCATGAGTCTGTTGAGGTGTTCAGAGCTCCCCCTCTGTACTAGGACTGGTGAACTGGGCCAGGCCTGGGAGGTGACAGCAGCACAGCGTGGGGCGTGAGGGGAAGGCTGAGGAGGAGTGGTGGTCCCTAGGGTGAAGCTGTGGTCTCACAAGGAAGCGTGGTTCACCCTGAGACCTGGGGTTGGAGGTCATGTCTGTGGCAGGCAGGTGGTGACAGAGTTGACCGCAGGCTCACAACAGATGCCATGCTGTTCATTCTTGTTCTGGATTATTTTCTTTTTCTTTTTTTGAGTTGGTGTCTCACTCTGTTGCCCAGGCTGGAATGCAGTAACACAATCATAGCTCACCACAGCCTTGACTAACTGGGCTCAGGCAATCCTTCTGCCTTAGCCTCCCAAGTTTCTGAGACTACGGGTGTGGGCCACCGTGCTAATTTTTTAAAGATTATTTTGTAGAGATGAGGCTGTGTTGCCTAGGCTGGTCTCAGCCTCCTGGGCTCAAGCAGTCCTCCACTTCAGCCTCCCAAAGTGCTGGGATAACAGGCATGAGCCACCGCACTCAGCCTGGTCTAGATTCTTTTAGCTCTGTCTCCGCCAGGGTTGTAGCTCGGATCGAACCTTATCCCTCCTCAGGACTGCTTGAGTTTTTGTGTTTGGAGGTTTTTTTTTTTGAGTTGGAATCTCACTCTCCCATCCAGGCTGGATCCCTCTTGACCTGAGTCAGATAAGCTCGTGTTTGTGAAGTCAGACAAAGTGAAGAGCATAGAACTCACATTTCAGAAACGAAGCTGCCATGACCTGTAGCACCTGGCAAGGTCACAGCTGAAGGCAGCTGCTGTTGTTAAGTTCCACACTGAAGGAACCTGTGCTCTGAGCCTTTGAACAGCAGCACCAGCTTCCTCTGTGACCTTGCCTCAAAGGTGGCCTGCTGAGCCCAAGCACACGTGCTCTTTGGGGCCAGCCATCTTCGTTCTGGCTTCCACGTCCCCTTCTGGTTTTCTATACTAGCAATCTCCCCTTCATCCAATTCCACTCCCTTCTTGGGGCCCTGGGCCACCAGAGCGTGACGTCCAGAATTCCTTGGGAGAGTCCTCAGTTCCCCTGGTCCCAGCTGGTGCAGTGCCAGGAGGAGGGTGCTGTGGGACCCTGCATGGCAGGATCCCAGGCATGTGTGGGTCGGCAAGGCGTGTCCTGTCATTGTACAGGAAAGGTTCTGCCTGCCCACACTTAGCATCTCAGCTTTTAACTGCAGGACTTCTTTTTCAGCTTTCGAAATGACATTAACGGAAGGAAATAAGTTGGAGAAGAAACTCTTTTATTCAACCTTTGCCACCGTGAGTAAACAGTATCCACCTGGAGAACCAAACATATTCCAGTCATACAAGTTGCCGAGAATTTTCTTTTAGATTTTTTTTTTTTTTTTTTGAGTTGGAGTCTCACTCTGTCACCCAGACTGGAGTGCAGTGGCTGCTCCCGGCCACTGCAGCCTCGACCTGCTGGGGTCCGGTGCTCGGAGCTGGAACTACAGGTGCACACTAGCACGCCCAGCTCTTCTCTTAGATTTTTATCATTAAATACCACTTCTTTTTGGTCTGAACTGTTAGACTTCCCTCTAGCTGGATCAGATTTGTTCTATCAGTGGCTCTCAAATTTAACAAAAAAGTAGTGTATGAAAGTTCAAAAGTAGCCTTTATAGGCCTGTTATAAAGGCCTGTGAATTGTACCTCAAGGAACAGCTCCTTTATTTATTGATTTATTTATTATTTTTTTTTTTGAGTCAGAGTCTTACTCTGCCTCCCACACTGGAGTGCAGTGGCATGTTCACGGCCACTGCAGCCCAACCATGCTGGGCTCAGGTGATCCTTCAGTCTCAGCCTTCCAAGTAGCTGGAACCCCAGGCATGTGCCACCAAGCCTTACTAATTTTTCTGATTTATTGTAGAGACAAGGTCTCGCCATGTTGCTCAGGCTGGTCTCAAAACCCTGGACTCAGGCAGTCCTCTTGCCTCTGTCTCCTAAAGTGCTGGGATTACAGGCATGAGCCACCATGCCTAGCCAACAACTCCTTTATTTAAAATGCAGTTCAAGCCTGGAATGGTAGTGGGCCTGTAGTCCCAGCTACTCAGGAGGCTGAGGCAAGAGGATCATTGAGTCCAGCCTGGACAACATAGCCAGATGAGACTTTTTCTCCAAAGAAAATTTCAACAAGGGTACCTGCATAATGGACATTTGTATATCTAACCCTGAATTGTATCCCACATCTTTAAAATTAAAAATTAAAAAAAAAAGAAAGGCCGGGCACGTTGGCTCACACCTATAATCCCAGCACTTTGGGAGGCTGAGGTGAGAAGATTGCCTGAGCTGACGGGTTTGAGACCAACCCAGGCAATTTGGTGAGACCTCATCTCTACAATAAATCAAATATTTAGCCAGTCATGGTGACGGTTACCTGTTGTTTTAGCTACTTGGAGGGCTAAGATGGAAGGATCATCTGAGTCCAGCAAGTCGAGGCTGTGGTGGCCATGAGCATACCACTGCACTCCAGCCTGGGCAACAGACTCAGACTCCCAACTCAAAATAATTACAATAATAATAAATTTAAAAATAACAATTTTGGCTGGGCTTGGTGGCTCAGCCTGTAATCCCAGCACTTTGGGAGGCCAAGGTGAGTGGATTGCCTGAGCCTGTGGGTTCGAGACCCGCCTGGGCAACTTGACGAGCCCTCATCTCTACAACAAATCAAAAAATTAGCCGGGCGTGGTAACACACGCCTGTAGTTCCGGCTACTTGGAAGGCTGAAGTGGAAGGATCGCCAGAGCCCAGCAGGGTGAGGCTGAGATGGCCGGGAGCGTGCCACTGCACTCCAGTCTGGGTGACAGAGTGAGACTCCAACTCAATAAATAAATTAATTAATTAATTAAATTAAATAAAAATAACAATTTAATTTAACTTAGTTAAAAAACAAAATCAGTGATAAAATTTTAATGCAATTCATTTTATCCATTTTTCTAGATAATTCTAATTATTTGGAATGTGATTCAAATGTATGATAATACTGTAACTTGTAGCTTTATTTTTTGTTTTTATTTTATTTTATTTTTTTGAGTCGGAGTCTCACTCTGTCGCCCAGGTTGGAGAGCAGTGGCATGCTCATGGCCACTACAACCTCGACTTGCTGGGGTCAAGTAATCCTTCCTCCTTGGCCTTCCAAGTAGCTGGAACTGCAGACATGCGCCACCACACTCAGCTAATTTTTTTATTTATTGTAGAGACGAGGTCTCACCAAGTTGTGTGGGCTGGGCTCACACCCCTGTGCTCAGGCGATTCTCTCGACTTGACCTCCCAAAGTGCTGGGATGACAGGCATGAGCCACCACACCCAATTTAACCTGAAGCTTCAGCACAATATTTTCTAAGATTTCTGTCAGCAACTTAAAGAAAATTGCCGTTATAATGCATATCTTTTGCTATCAGGTCATATCTAGGTGTTTTATAAAAGAAAGATTAAAAATGGTTTAGGCTTTTTTTTTTTTTTTTTTTTTTGAGTTGGAATATCCCTCTGTTGCCCACGCTGGAGTGCAGGGGCATGCTCACAGTTATTGTAGCCTCAGCTTGCTGGGCTCAGGTGATCCTTCCGCCTCAGCCTTCCAAGTAGCTGGAAGTCCAGGCATGCGCCACCAAACCCAGCTAATTTTTTTTTTAATTTATTGTAGAGAAGAGATCTTGCCATGGTGCCCAGGCTGGTCTTGAACCTGTGAGCTCAGACAGTCCTCTTGCCTCCGCCTCCCAACTTGCTTGGATTACAGGCATAAGCCACCCTGCCTGGCTGACTTGGGCTCTGAAGGAAGAGAAGCTGTGTGTATACAAGTGCTTGTGGGCACGTGTTCTTACGTGCACACAGGTGCAGGCAGAGTGCATGTATAGAGTTGATCCTCATGTCCTCCATGACACTGAGGGTAACATCTGACACCAGTCATTACTGAGTCCAGATGATGACTGGCAAATGACCCAAGTGTGTGCCTCTGCGGTTCCCTTTAGATGTGAGTTTGACACTCATATCATTGCTTCCCGAATGACGGTCTACTAGGTGGGTAATAAAAATGCCCACCCCAGTCCTAATCGGGCAGGAGTCCAGTCATTTGCAGTTGCATGTGATCCTGTCGCAGAACCTACCGCCTTCCCCGTTCGCCTGAAGAGCCGAGACGGGGAGAGGGAGACCGAGGTAGGTGTCAGGCTCAGTGGGGAAACTGAAGGTCCACCTCTGCTTTTCTCCCTTTTGCTACCAGGATGACCGGAAAGAAGGGATGACTGCGTTTGTGGAAAAGAGAAAGGCCAACTTCAGAGACCAGTGAGCCCCGGCCGCCTGCCTCAGACCTGCTTCGAGAGCAAGAGTGCAGCCTTCCAGTCTTAAGAGCAAGTCAGTCGTCCCCCTCTGCAGGGCTGTAGAGGTGACAGGCAGCATGCCTCCCACTGCTGTGTGGCTGCCGTGTGCTCCCATGGGCCACAGACACCCTCAGCCAGCCGTGTGAGGGCCCGGTGTTCACATGCTGTCACAGTTGGAAGACCTGGCTGCTCAGGGGCCACTGTCTGCTGCCCAACACCAGTGTCCTGTGATTAAAGTGACAGCTTTTCATTCAACTTCAGGTCACATCGTGCCTTCCTTTTAATCATCTCTAGAGGTCGAGCGTTCTGTGCTTCCGTTTTTTAGCTTTTTGTTTCTTCGCCGTAAGTGATAGCATTCAAACAAGTCCACAGAGTATGTCGCACTCTCCAGTTAGCCACTGCAAACGGCCGGTTGCCTGGCTTCCAAGAGGACTTTTCTGTGCGCACACACTCACGCACACATGCCCAGGCATGTCGTTTGGGATTTCTGCTTCTAGAAGTGGCATTCCACACTCATTTTGTAGAGTCCTTTTCCAAATAAAAACACATGTGGTGTCCCTCTGCTTCTGTCACGAACCACTCCTCACCTCCTGCGTCACCACGTTCTTCTGTGCTGTGGTAACATCACACGCTTCCATTGTGACCATTTTCAGTGCACACGTCAGTGGCATTAAGCACATTGCATTATGCAGCCATCACGCCCTCCATCCTTTCCATCTTCCCAAACTGAGTCTGTCCCCATTAAACACTAACTCCCCTTTCCCCCTCCGCCAGCCCTTGGCACTCACCCCTCTACTTTCTGTCTTTGTGGATTTGCCTACTAGGGACCTCATGTATGTTGAGTCACCCGGTCTCTGTCCTTTTGTGCTAGGCTTATTTCTCTTGGTACCATGCTGTGGTCTGAGTGCTTGTGTCCCTCCCTCCCCGAATTCCTGTGTTGAAACCATAACCCGCAAGATGATGGTACTAGTAGGTGGAACCCTGGGAGGTGATAAGGTCATGCAAGTAGAAACCTGATTAGTTTTACAAGGGATTAGTCCCTTGTAAAAGCTCCAGGGAGCTCTCACCCCTCCCAACATATGCAGACACAGCAAGAAGGGGTCATTTATGAGCCCAAAGTACTGGATATCTAGAAACACAGTCTCCCTGTGTTACCCAGTCTGGATTTGGACTCGGCTCCCGTGATCTTCTCACCTCAGCCTCCCAAGTAGCTGGGGTTATTAGAGGTGTGCACCACTGAACCTGGCTCATACTAGGTGTTTAGACAGCACCCAGAACTATGGATCACACTGCAGTGACTGCACTAATCCGTGGCTCTGCTGGAGCATGCCTAGTGTTTCCACAGGGAAGCCTCTAGCGGCCAGGGCTACAAGTGTGTGGATTCCACCCGCAGGCCCATCAGTCAGCAGTATGGCCTCCTCAGTCCTTCTCAACACTTGCTGCCAGTGTGAGACCTTGGAGGTCTCCAGCATTGATGTTGGGGCTGAACCCTTGGGGCGTTTGGTTAAACGCATGTTCCCAGAGCTGGAACCGACCTGAGGGAGGCCCCGGAATCTGCTGTCCTCAGAGTGGTTCCTGGTGCACAGAGAAGTTCAGCTGTAAGCCAGAGAAGAGCTTTGCCTAAGTAAAGGGGCAGCAGGCCTGACTTGGACTCAGGGAGATGCATTCCCGTCAGCAGCAGTCAGGGTTGACCACAGAGCCAGTGTGGTGGCCCAAGCAAACAGCCCTGGCCCCAGGCGCCTCAGGGCCCTCCTCCCCTGGGGAAACCACCTGTCCCAGCTCAGTGCAGGTATTTCCTCCAGCTGGCCCTCCACCTGGGTGCAGGCAGGCAGTCCAGACTCTGGGTATGGCTTGGGTTGGGTGGGCAGAAGATGTGAGCACCCCTGCCCTTGGGGTCCTCACTGAATACCAAGGAGAGGCTTGTCTGGTTTAGGAATCAAGGTGACCTTTGCCAGGCTCTGGCTTTGAACACCTAGGGACTATGCCCTTTTGTTGGGTTACATTTATACAGCAAAGCAGGCACACACGTGCTATGGGGACTGCTTGCCTCACAGGCACTAGCTGTACACTCCCACACCCTGTCTGACCTCTGTGCACCGTGATCAGGGGTCTACTAGTTTCATAATCCGCTTCCAGGAGAGACAAAGTGGAGGTTTGTTATCTTGCCAGCCTGAGTGTAGACAGTTCTGTGAAGTTGACCTTCAGACAGAAGGCAGGTAACACACTTTTCAAGTAAGCTTCAGAATCTGAGACTGATAAATGCAGAAGTAGGTATAAGGGAGCTAGGTCAGGCCTAACACGACAGAATGGACTCTCCCCTCGGGGTAGGGAACCAGGAGTCTGGGCGTTCTTCATGGTGACTGTGGAAATGCTCATTTATTAAAGCTAAATACACAGATCAGTGCCAAGTGACCTGCCATCAGCCCTGCAATCTGGAATAAACAAGCAGAGACCGGCACCAGAGTTTTAAGTATCCAAAGAAAGAAACCTTAAAATTGAAAAGATCCATCCACTAGTTTGATCTTTCGTGTGCGCTGGCATCAGCCTCCACAATTTTATTTTGAGCAGTGGAAACCCAGGGTTCTCTGGGGCCCGTTTTGAGAAGCTCATTACAGACTCACTCTTACACTTGTCTCACACATGCTGGACTAGAAACCAAGAGAGGGCTCACCATGGAAGTTGCATTTGGGAGTCCCTCGGGCCTGCATCCAGTTACCCAGGTTCCAGAACTTGGCAAGGACTGGAGGCCACTCGGAGGCCTGGGGGGGACACACCCTGTCTTTATGCTTTCACGCTGCCCATTGAGCTGTAGGGAGCTGGTGAGTGTGACTGTCCTGGGACAGGTCCCCCTCTCCAAACCCAGACCTCTGGCCCCATTATTGTTGATGAAAGATGCCAAACTAAAATATTTAAGATGGCTTATTCTGAGCCAAACGTCAGTGGCCTTAGGCCCCTGACACCCATTTCAGGAGGTCCTGAGAATGTGTGTCCGCTGTGGTTGAATTTTAGTTTGGTTACATACATTTTGGGAGGACAGAAATTACAGAAAATTATAAATCAATACATGTGGGATTTACATCGGTTCAGCCCAGCAAGGTGGAGTATCTCTAGGAAGGTGGGGGGGGGGCTTGCAGGTTGTAGGTAGATTCAAAGATTTCCAACTGGCGAGAGTTATCTAAGGAATTTTGAAAGCAGTAAAGGAAATGGGCAGGTTGAGGAATAAAGGAGTCAAGTTTCTTGATGTGTAAATGAAGTTTTATAGGTGACACACTTTAGAGAGAATAGACAAGTTTCTTAAAAGGTGCCCAGAGTCTCCAAAAGACAGCTTTCTGGGGTTATAGAATATTTTGATCTTCCTTCTTTATCTGTTATGCCAGAGTCATGTTGGAAAGTAAACCATGTTATATGGTTAATCAAAGTCTCGTCTCTCCAGGCCCCCAAATGAGGAATTTGGCAAGGTAAATTAAAAAATCAGCATTTAGTCCTCAGTTCGAAGTTTTGATTCTATTTTAAAGTTGAAAACTTTTCCTCTCGTCTATCTGTAAAACTGGCTTTCCCTCTTGTATATTTCTCGTATTTGGGAAATGTAGACAATAACTCCACTTCCCAGTTGGAGTAGAAACTGATCAGGTATAGCCCCCACCTGGGTTGGCTTCAGTGCAAAGTGACCTCCGGTCAACAGGCTCCAGACCCAGGTTGCAGTCACAGAGCCAGCCCTCCACGGGGCAGCCCCCCTTCCTTTTGCCCTACGTGGCTGGCCCAGAGCCCACATTTGAGAGCTGCTGGACATGGGCCTGGGTGGCCCGCCTGGCTTCCCCAGTGAGGCTCAGGTCACTCTGTGGGAATGGGCTCCCAGGGCCAGGCAGTTCAACATTCTCGGAGACATCTGTTTTCTCCAAGTGTTTTGCTATGGCTTTGTCGTCTTTCTCGTACAGACCGATTTCCAGAACCTTCCATGAGCCGCCAGAGCATGTCACTGCAGGGTCGAGGGCACTGGCCACACAGCTGGTGTCCACCTGGGAATGAAGTGGAAGACCATGGCTCCCCTGGCTGGTGGGCCACCCCTAGGCCAGGCAGCAGTCAGCACTCAGGCAACAAGCCTGGGGCCAGCGGAGGTCAGGACACTGCTGTCCTGGGCAGGGGGCTAGAGACGTGGTGAAGTCCTGGCACTCCGTGGCTTGGCCTGGAGCAGACTTGGCTGTTCCCTCTTACTCCCTTCCGCCCCGTCCTCCGATCCCTTTCTAGGCGGCCTCGGGGGCGTTGGCTGAAGTCCTAAAGCCACACCGGGGACCCGGAGGGCTCTGGGTGCCCCTTGAGGCACGGGGCCAGCACGACGGGG